GCTCCTCCCGCAGCTGCGGGATGGAGGTGGGTGCAGGATGAGCCCCCGGGGGGGCCGGAGCCCCAGGGGCCGGCACAGACAGGAGAGGGTTTGGGTTTTTTCCCCACCCCCGGCACAGGCTCCATCCCGCGCAGTTACCGATGCCAGTTGCTGACCCGGTGCCTTTGCAGGTGACCGAGGGACCCCAGCGTGAGCGGGGAGGGGACCGGAGCATCATGGCACACCCCGTCTCAGCCTTCCAGGCTGCCTACATCTCCATCGAAGTTCTCATCGCTTTGGTGTCCGTGCCGGGGAATATCCTGGTCATTTGGGCTGTGAAGATGAACCAGGCGCTGCGGGATGCCACTTTCTGCTTCATCGTCTCGCTGGCGGTGGCCGACGTGGCCGTGGGAGCCCTGGTCATCCCCCTGGCCATCATCATCAACATCGGACCACAGACAGAGTTTTACAGCTGCCTCATGGTGGCCTGTCCCGTCCTCATCCTCACTGAGAGCTCCATCCTGGCGCTCCTGGCCATCGCCGTGGATCGATACCTGCGGGTCAAGATCCCCGTCAGGTAGGAAAACACATTGGGACGGGCTCTGCGGTGACTGCTGCGGGGGTTAAAAGGGAGCGAGGATGCCCCAAATTCTTGGAGAAGCAGTGGGAGAGAGGTCTCCCTCCACGCTGCCAGGCTGGCACATCTGGCTGCGGCAGCAATGGGGGCAGGCTGGGCTGGGGGGGTCCCGGAGCCGCCGGCAGCTTGGCTTGGGAGTTCAGGGGGTGCTGGGTGTGCAGGCAGAGGTTGCATTGCGGCAGCTGGCAGGCACAGCAGGGCAGCCCCTCTCCGAGTCCCGGTGGCTGGGACAAAGTGTGTCCCACCGCACATGGGACAGCACCGGAGAGGTGCTTCGGGGAGTGGGAAGGGGACGATAGATTTATCTTCAGCCCAGGTTTTCCCTTGCCATGGGGAGCCCAGGAGCCCGGGGGTGATAACCTGCTTGCTCATGGACACGTGGGACACAGCTTTGGGGTTCTGAGGGACCAGAGGTGACAGCCCGGCACGTCTCATGGGGCAGGCTCAACCAGGAGAGACCCCTGGCTATGGGGCTGCCCCACAAATGACTCGTTCCCCTGTTTTTCCCTTTCTCCTCATCTGTATCTGTTGTCAAAGCCAAGCCCATAGCAAATACTGTGGGGCATAAATGAGGGGGATGCACTGTATTTGAACTCTGCTGCTCCAGGAGATTAACTGCTTCACGGCCAGCTCCCTCCCCGCTCGTGCAGAGCTGCAGCCCCTGGGGCTGGGGGGAGGCAGCCGTGGTGCTGGGGGGTCTCAGTGGGACTGGGGGGCATCAGCGGGGCTGGAAGGGGATGTGACACCCGGCGTTGGTGACGCTCGAGTGCAGCCCGTGCGTCCCGGCTCGGCCCCTCGCTGTGCAGTCGCTATTGCTGGTCCCCGTTGCTCTGTCCGAGGACATGTCCAGGCTGCAGGGACACCTTTGCCCGGCTCCTCGGCTCCCGCTGCCAAGAGCATTGCTGGAAACCTCAGCCCAGCCAGGGCGGCTGAGCACACACCCCGCTCCTGTTACCCCACTGACTTCTGCAGTTCAAACACGGGCTCCAGCCCATTTGCTGGAGGGATCCATGACCCTTCATCAGCACAAAGACCCCCCACAAAAGGACCAAACCCCTTGTGTTAGATGCTGCCCAGACCCCAACGGGTGTAGGACCCTTCCTGGGGCAGGAATTGCCTTCCCACACAGGGAGACAGGGACAGGAGACAACCTGCATTGGGATCAACTGATGGCTCCAGAGTGCTCAGTGTCCCCAGATCCACTGGATCAGGCCAGAGATCTGTTGCTTTGGGGATTTTCCCCCAGCTGTGGCCGGCACAGGCTGCTTGGTGAAGGAACGTAAGGCAGAGGGGGGGCACAGGATCAAACCACAGTCCCTGCTCACCCCCTCCCTGCCGCACACGATTTCGCAGGCTGTTCCCAACTTCTTCCCTAAGTGTGATTTTTCCCAGCCTGAAAAATCCTCGTCTCCCAGCCCGTCGGTGTAACCGTAGCGATTCTCACCCTGTCATTGCTCTCGGTGCTTTTTTGGTCCTCCTGCATCCCCTGCGCGGTGGGGATGGGTTCAGGTGTGGGTGTACTGCGGCTTTATACATAGCAACACTGCCTAGCTCTCGTCAGTCATTTTTCTAACAAACCCAGTCTTTTTTCCTCCCTTGCTGCCTCTGAGCATCAAATGGGCCTTTTTGGGGAGATTTCTGCCCTGAACCCCGTAGCTTTCCTGGGAGCAACATTAAGTTAGAGCCCGCTGTGCTCTGTACAGTTTGGGTGGGTTTTTCTCATGCAATATAGACCCTGAATTTTGTCGTCCCGTTATGTGCCTGAGCGCTCAGCATCATGAGATTTTCCTCTGACTTTTTCTAGCCTACTTTAATATTGAAAGGCTTCGTAGCCTCAACAAGAAGGGTTCGGCTTCACCAGCTCTCCTGTTCACTTATCTCTGGATGTTTCCTTCTTTCCCTGGTGTGCATTCCCAGCAGATGGCAAACGCGGTGATTTGAGGTGTTTTTTGTGCCCTAGACACAGCAGCAGCGAAACAACATTGTAGATTGCAAATAGGACAGAAAACGCCACTAAAGAATATTCCCTGAATCTGAAATGCCTCAAGTTTCTCCCAACCTGTTGCTAGATGCTAAAAGATGATACCGAAAACATTTTTACAGCACTGACAGCTCGAATCACGGCTTCATGGTGTCGTTCCTCACTGTGGCGCTGAACCCACCGGTGTGCAAATTGGTGCTGAGTGCTGAGGGCCTGCGACACCTCAGCAGAACTTGGGTCCCCAGTGAGACACGTGGCCACTTGTGCCTGGGAGAGCTGCTAACGTCCCCGGAGGTCCGCAGGCAGCAATGGCATCCAGTCCTGGGCAGTGGAGGCATCCCACAGAGATTTGCAGGCAGGTGGGGAGCGATGTGGGGGGATCTCTGCCTCAGCCACATCCCTAGGGCAGCCAGGACATGGAGCAGGGACATCCCCTCCGGCACGTGGCTGGTCAGCATCGGGCATGGAGGGGACAGGGTCAGCAGACAATGTGCACGCCACAGCCCACTCCTGTGCCAACGCAAGTCCCCGGATAAGCCTGGCACGGGGTGGATGCTCGCCAGCGTGACCCACACGTGGCCCGACATGGCTAAGGGGGTATCGTGGGCTGTCGTGCACGGGGATCCCCCACATCCCTGGCCCTGCTATCCGCTCGCAGGCAGCCCTGGCTCTGCCGAGGCTTGGGGAGAGGGGACAGCGGGGAAGGGAAATGCATCTCATAGAGGCAGCCGACAGGGACTGGGAGCAGCAAGGAGAGAGGCTCTGTGCATCCCTGCTCCGTCCTCATGCCGAGCACCCCGCAAACACTGTCTCCGCTCTGGGGGTCCCCAGCGAGCCACCACTTGCATTGCCGGTTCCGTGAAAAGGTGTGCGAGGGTTTCCACGTCCCTGTCACGTGCTGGCCAGTGGGGGAGAGAAGGCAACGGGACTGTTGGCTGGGAAGAGTTGTCTGAAGGAGAAGCAAAGTCACCGCTGGACTTTCCAGGCTTTCTATTTAATTAGGCGGAGCTGGGACTGGAAGCGCAGCTTGGCAGGGAAGGGGGGAACATGGTGCATCGCAGCCCGGCTTCAGCTCCTGGCTGCCCACGCACGCCCTGGCCCTGGTGGTGGCGAGCTTGGGGGAACAACCTACAGGTTTGCTCCTTCTTCCAGCAGGCACATGGACCCGTCCGCTGCCCGTGCTCCCAGCCGGGGAGCAAGCCCTGGGGGGAGATCGGGAGCTTTGCAGCCCTGGGGGTGGGTGTTTGCTGGCAGCGTGTCTTGAGCAAATGGTGCCCTGAGACATTCGTGATGTGTCTCAGGATGGCAGCAGGAGATGCCCAGGCGTCATCCAATGCTCCATCTTGGGCATACTCCTCACTCCCATGGCTGTGTTTCCCGTGGACACAGAAACACAGAGGAACGTGGGCCACTTGTGCAAGGTGGAGGCAGATATTGAGGGTCTTGCAGGGCTCTGAGCTGGCACCTCCTTCCTCCTGCTCTTGGAGGTAAACCCAGTGCATACCGAGCATGGTTGGGGGACCGGGATATCCCACCGAAGCCTCTCCCTCTGCCCAAACCCCCGGGTAGCATCCCTCCTGGCTGCTGGGGTCTGAAGGATGCTGCCTCCCCCCAAGGGGCCTTTTCTTGACTATGGAGGGATGCAAGAACATCGCTTGGGTTGAGCAGGCTGGAGCCCTGCTCCCCAGCCTCCACAGGAACTGCTCTAAGCAGCTGGAAACCCCATAAAATAGGTTTGCTGCCTTCACGCTGGTGGAAAAGCTCACATCTCCCCTCTCGCATCCTTCCTTCCCACCCGGCGGCAAGGCAGGACCCCCATCCTGTCGTCCCCCCCAGCCAGGCACAGCGGGGTCCCCCAGCCCAGCCCAAACTTCCCTCTCGCAGCCGCGCTCGGAGAAGATGAAACGAGTTCAAAGGGAGGGGAAGCAGCCGGCCGGGGGTGTCCGGCAGGAACCGGCCCCTCGGCATCCCTGCAGCGGCGGCTGGCGGCAGGATGCTGGAGGGGACGGTGCCGGAGGGATGTTTGTGGGGGGATGTAGCTCCTTTGGCGCAAGCCTTCGCTGCCTCAGGGGTCCCCATCTCTGCTCTGAGGTGCTGCGTTGGGCTTTTTGGAGAGGGCCGTGGCAGAAGGAGCTAGTGTCCTTGGGACACGCTGAACCACAGCCCCTTGGCTGGGGATGCGGGATGCACGGATGCAGGGTGGTCCTGTCTTGGCATGTCCTTGGGGGTCCTCACCTTGTCTGCTTCGCTTGGACCACCAGCTTTTTCCTCAAACACTTGGAAACATATGCCAGGAAGATAAAAACTGGAGAAATCTGCTGGTAGCAAGAGCCCTTGTATGTGGGGTCTCTCACTCCACACCAGGGACCTCCACCCTCTGTGCCTGGGCCTCGACGTTGCAGTGCCCCTCCCCGCCCTGCAGCATCCTGAGGAGCATCCCACCAGGGCAAGCTGCATTTTGTATTGCTGAAGGTTTTTGAATGCGCACGTGAGGCTGCAGGGCCATGGAAATTAGACCAAACCGGGCTGGAACTTGCTAGGAAACAGGGGGGCAGGAGGCTGGGGCACAGCTGGGGGAGAGCCCAGGGTAAAGCCGGGTCTGTGGGTGGCTCTGCGGGCAGCGCTGGTGTTCTCTGATGGTTAAGTGCCTTGTCCCGAGCCTGATGAGATAAAACAGCTCAGGGATGGCAGGAGCATCCCTCGGCCCTGGACTGCAGCACCTGCAAGCCAGGAGGTGAGGAGAACTTGCAGGTAGCCTGCGAGCTCTTGGATGGACCTGGCGGTGGAAAGGGGAAGCTTTCCCCACCCCGAACCCGCTGTTTTTCAGGCTGCCTGAGCTCAGTCTCTTGCTGGGATTGCAGCGCTCTTTCCCCTTCTCTCCAGGCCTGCCAAGGGCCACAGGCGTGGGGCCAGCTGGGGCTGGGTCACAGGGAAGCCTCGGGAATCTCATCGCCTTCAG